GGCCGGTCGAGGCCAGGTCGTGTCACGGAGGAGCCAGCATCCACGCCCCCCTAACGATCGAAATTCATTTCCATAATTATCTCACGAGCACTGCCTCTATATATGTGCCATCGAATGCGAACACATTTGACGTTGACTGTACTTAAGGAAAACGATCACAGGTTCGGGGACCGTATTCGTGTGAACCGCGGACGGAAGTTCGAGGTTAAATTCCGTGTTTCTGCCGGTTCGTTATCGTGCTCGTTATTAAGTACACTGGTATTTCTTAATGGATTCGTTCTTACGTAATTACCTGGCTCACGATACTATGACTTTGATGATTGTTCTATTCCCTTCGGTAACACGGAACTCCTTTCTTCTTCCACTTCTGTTCTCTTTAACCCCGCGTTTTCAATTTTATACCTTGAATTTATTAGCATAACGGATTCGGTAACCAAGAGGAAAGTAAATTACGGAACGGGAATACTCGTTAGCGATTTTTTCATTTATCTGTGTATATAATTATACAAGAAATAGATTCTTTGACTGATTCATTACTTGTACAATTTATTTGGTGCGTCAGTTCAAACTAACTATTCATAACTATAATATTTAAACAAAAATTGTTGCGAATATTTTTGACCTAAATTTTAGGTTGAGTATTAACAATTTTAATAAGATTGGTTAAATTCGAGCTGTGAGTGCGTCACGATAAGGAGTTAAAGCAACGAAATGTGGACATTTTGTTAAAAATAAAAAAATTTCTGCATCATACTTAGGAAGCTATTTCGAACCACAAACATTGTCAAACCCGTTTACATGAAACGTGTTATATCTTCGTAATTTTTTCATCTCAGTTTCTCGTTTTAATTATAGAAGTCCCCGAAGTCATTCCCGTTGGAAATGCAGGATTTAAACAAAACACCTATGCGTTTCCCGAATGTGTGATGTCTCACACGTATTTGCATATCCAGCCCTCATGATTGCAACTGTACAGTTTACCGTGTCGCATTGGACTCTTCTATTTTTTCCCCTCTTCTTTTACTTTCACAGCAACGAGAGAGATCGGTACGAGTTCGTATCATCGGGTCGTTTTTTCATAACGGGTTGGTAACACGGCCTTAAATCCTCACTTCTTCGATTCTCGGCGCGCATTAAATTCAGCGAGGACGCGAGATTACTTATAATTAAACCTCCTGGGCAACGCGCCACTCTCTCGTCTCTGCTCTTCGCGTGCGTGTCTAAAGCTCGAAGCCGATTTTTGTCAGCTCTCCATCGGATTGCTTGCTGGCAGTATGTTACCAGTGTACAGCAGCTTGCGTACAAATTAACATCGAGAAGGGTATCGCGAAACATTTCCCTCATTACGGGAAGGATGTAACGATATAACCTGTGGCGATATAACGCGTTGCCATATAGAACGTGGCAACATGTTCTCCCTGTGAGAGAACGAGTCTCTGTGATACGTATACGATGACTGTTATATTATATTTTTATATTAAATTCATATGTCTTATGAAGAACACCGTATGCGCATGCGTCAACGACATTGCTGTAACTGTAACATCGTTTGCGCATGCGCATATATTTTCGTCATGTTTTACATATATCGTTAACAGTTTGATCAACAACTCAATTAACGTCAAATACGTCGTGTAACTTCGTGTAATTCTGTAATGGGCGTAATGTGAGCGAGAGTTCATTATTATCAAATACATAAATTCGAGTTACGAAGGATCGATGCAAATGCAGATTCACACCAGCAGTAAATTGTTTCGTTAACATGGGTAAACGTCGTCGTTCACTATGGACCGCAGGATTTATCTGCCGAACATTGAGCCGCTTTTTGAATAAAAAAAACATTGTACAGGATGTAAACACTGCGACAGGCATTGAACGCGATTTTACCAGCACATTGATAAGGACAAGTTATACTCCACTTTATCTCCCTTAAAGAGGCTATCTCTTTCGAAAACATGATCCGAGGTACGATGATTTAGAAAGGTTTGAAAACGTGCGCCAAATCCTCGTTGAAATTAGACAAGATGAAAATGCAAGAGATATAACCACGATCGCGATTATCGCTCGCTACTCTCGCGATTTTATTAGCGAACGCACGCGCAAAACGCGAAACCAGTTTCTCCCTGTAGGAAAGCTCGATACCGACACGCGGCAATATTTCTACAAGGTAATACGCTTAACGCGACTCGAAGCGAAGCATAAAAAACATAGTAATGCAATAATGCCGCAATTAACGCTATTTTTCGTACGTATGGTAGCTTGTAAGGACCTCTCTTTCTTTAACCTCCATCGACTCTTTTCTTTCGACCCATCGAATTGGTCGCCGTTGAACTCGATTCGCGCCAAAAAATTTCACCGTTATCGGTCCTCCCTTCGAGGAGGCCACGAATTCCGGTGTGCGCGTCAATCGAATCGCGCGACGGAAACGAGCCGTCGAACGATATCGGACGCGCGAACGCGGCCATAATGCACGCTCACGTAAGGTACAGCCGAGTTCTTCATTATCGTCAGGGACCTAAATTGCGTGGGCGTACCTATACCTTCGTACAACGTTACTTACCTTGATGTACTATAGAGCCAGTACCTTCGCACACGCGTGCAAGTGTGCGTATGAACGCGAGCACTGTCGGTACTCGTGCACGTTCGTGTGGCACAGGTTCGCGAGGCGAGCGCTGCCGAAGTTGCGCGAAGGCGGCCGAGCTCCGTGAAGCCGGTTGTCGCGCTCCTCGCCAGATGCGACGTCGAGTCAGTATCGCGTCAGTCCTCCAGTGGAATTGGTCAGTGATCTGTGTCAGAGCAGGGCCAGTCGTCACTCTCCTTTTCTCTCTTTCTCTCTCTCCCCCTCTCTCTCTGCTTCGGTCCGTCTTCAACGTGTTTCGTCCGGCGCACGTCGAGGTATCGGTGGTTTCGCGCGATTGCTCCGTTTTGGCTTGTTCGCGATCGCGTACCGTCTCGTTGCCGCGAACTCACGCCCGGCACCTATCTTAGCATACCTATAGGTTAAGCGTACGTACGTGCACGGTACACATACAGTAATACTACAGTGCTACAGTGGAGTTACCAGTGGGGAAAACAAAAATTAGTTTGCAAGCGGACGTGCCTCACGGCGACCGTCGTCCACCACGTTCTGGATCGTACAACGACAGCAGGTGAGTGGAAAGTTTTCGTAGTAGGGTATCGTTTTAGTAGCGACGTGACTGCCTGGACCTTAAGTCCCGGAGGACGTAGCGCACGCCATTTCTTGGAACTTTCGGCGATTAATATAGGTTAATGGAACTACTCCCGTTAAACGAAAAAAAAACGTGTCCCTGTTAGCGTTGATTACATGTACTGGTATCACCGACTGATATTAGCTTTTTTACCCGTTCTATCCGTTAAAACCTGTAACATGTTCTAGAGGTTTTTAATCGCGTTCGTACCCCCTTTTAAATTCTTGCAAATCAACTACCGCGTCGAGTATGCAAGTTCGACTGGTTTCCGGCAGTTTTTACTTAACAACTTGTTTCCAACTGTTTACACATCAGAACGACACGTTCTATTATCTGGAACGGCCAACAGCCGTTTCACGGTAGAAAAACATTTTCAAAGTCATCCCGTCCGGTTGAGTATTGTTTCTTCTTCACCTTTTTCCGATCGAGCTGGACGTTCAGTGACCCGATCACTCGGTCGATCTGCATCCCAAAGGTTAACCGAACCCTTTCTCGGAACAAACTTCCTAAACGTTCTTTTCTTGCTATCGACGAGCACCAAAACGTTTCGTTCGCTTCATTTGTTAGCGTCGCCCCAAAAAAATGGCGGTCGAAGAGGGGGCGATTTCTCTCACAAGGTGATCGTAAATTCGAGACTCGTAGGCCGTCGTTCTTCTCTTCTTCTCTTCTCATCTTTCGTCTTTTTTAGCTTTCCTTTTTTCCTCGATCCCTTACCGTTACTGGTCCGCCCTACCGACGGCCAGCATGTTGATCAGCGTCGAAATTTATCTTTTGGGATCCACCTAAGTCTTTCCGATGCTTTTGTCTTCGATTTTTCAATCTTTCCAAACGTTTTTGCGTTTCAGCGTGTAAAGCTTGTTCATTATAAATTTGCAACAATTTAACTTCATTGAGTACCGGTATTTTTGGAGAAATAGAAATTTAAATACCGCTATTTAAAAATATATATTGTTAATTATTTGCAGCATCAAGTTCTGGTATAAATATTTGTACGATTGTCTGTAGCTGTAAATACACTTGAGTACTCCTCAAATATTTGCAGAGCCAAATACCGGTACTTGAAGTACTTGCATTCTTTAATACATATATTCTCGACACTAATAACTCTATCTGTAATATCCACACTTTTATATAATTTTAGTAATTTTAAATTTTATTGATATTTGAGCACATATTTTTATTTTATAATATCTATACTATCATTTAGCTTGTGCTTTTCAGTGCCTCCTACTAATGTATAATCGAATACTATGTTATGAATACACGTACTTCCTTAGATCTACATTTACCGTATCAAATAAGGGATGGCTTCCCGCGCGTAATCTAACGGCTATAATTTCGCTGATACATTAGATTTAAATCTTCCCACCTGTTCCGCTACGATATAATGGGTTATACACAGCATTTTTCGTAGTCTCTTCCGATATTAGAACATCGCAATTACGTGTTACTGTTATTAACTGTTAATACGGGCCCGAACCGGACTGGCTTGCAAATCCGGATTCTTTGATTCCTTGCGGTTCGTTGCTGTTAGTCGATTGCAAGTAAAATAATGCAAGCTTTCCAAAACATTCTTACTCATTTTTAATGATTAATATATTAAACGATTCGGTTTATTTCAATACAACGCTTGACTTGTAAAATTGTCTGTAAGCTTATTGTAATATTAATAATTAAATATAGAGATGTGTCACTGTTTTTGTAATTATTAAAAGGAAAGTATAATTCTTGTGGACAAAAGGAAAATAGAATACTTGTGAACGCATAAGAGGAGTCGCGAAACATAATATGTATATATATCATCTTGGCATAGTGGACAACGTGACGGACTGCAAATGCAAGGGTCGTAGGTTCGAATCCCCATAGTTTTCGAATTCCATTTTTTCATGGATATTATACATTATAATTAATAATACTTCTATTGGTCAAAAAAACTCTCTTTGAAGCAAAGATTGGATTTGTTGTATAAATCCCGAAGGATAAAAATATATTTCTCCCTTTTATTAGGGTTTTTCTCTCTAAGCTTGATTCGGATATGCAAGTCAAATTGGGATCGTATCGAATTTGAATTGTGAGCTGGATCTCGTCGAATTCGATTCGTAATCGAGTTTGGATCGTGTGTGTCGAATTCGATCACGCTGAGTTCGAATCGCGTCGAATTCGATCCATATGAGTTTGGATGAGAGTATAATTGCGTATCGGATCTATATGGAGTTTCGGTCGTGTCTAGTTTGTATCCTGTCGGGTCGAATCATGTTCAGATGAATCATGTCGAATTCTATCATACTAAAATTACATCAATCTTGAACTGTATACTGTGTTTTAAAAATTAGGTCACAAACTTTGTATCTCATCGAGTTATAATCAAACTATTCCTTTAAAAACCCTCCCTCTTGGTTCCTAATGTCTCTTACCAGTTCCTAAATTCATCCAAAATAATTCTAATCCTAAACTGTATCCTGAGTTTCATTGTCGGTCCATAGCATTCGATAGAGAGTTATCTTTCCATAGAGAGAGTATACATATATCATTTCAAAAGGAGTCTTAAAGTAACTTATAATGCAGAACAAGAATATGGCAAATGAACGAACGTTCTCGCACCGTTTTCCCTTATTTTTTCTGCTCCCCATTCGTAACGGACAATGGTCCGATGAATACACGAAGGCAACGGGCTCGTGAGTGGCTACCGTCGAGGTTAAAATCGAATGTGTGTCACGTTCACCGCGGCGTCGATTAGTAATCGGAGCGCGAGCGGCAATTACACTTGAAAAAGTCAATGTTACGTTGGAAGGTTTCGTACGGATTGCGCAAGCACGCGTGTTCCGGGTTACATACATAGTTTCGCGGTCCTGTGAACCTCTCGGACGAACGTTGCCCCCTCGAATGAAAGGCGTATTGTATTTGTAATCAGCTCTTTGTTCGGGAAACGAGATACCGTGCGCCGAGCACACGACGTCGAATGCTCCGAATTCCTAAGTTCCACTGTTCCAATTTGTCCCATTTAAAAATTTTTCGATTATCTCCAAATTCAATTTTCAAAGGTTCAAAGTTATAAAATTCAAATTATAAAGTCTCAAGATTGAAAAAGTCTCGGAGTGTTGAAATTTCAAAGTCTTCAAATTTACAAATTTTTTATGAAACTTAAAGATCCCGAAATTCAAAAAATTCCAAAATACAAACATCCTAAAGTTCCGAAGCGCTATAAAAAAAATTTCATATCAATAGAGTACTTTGATTTCTTGATACTGTCCAAGGATCTTCCTGTTTTCCTGCGATTTTTCCAACAACTATAAAGTTATCGTTAACGAGTACTCTTATCGTTATCTATATAAACTTGATTATCTTTTCGCCGATAATCAATGCGCATCTACCGAATCAACACTGTTTACTATCTGATTGCATGCTTTGTAAAAAGTCTGCATCACGCGAACATAATTGCGCACATAAATGCAGCAGTCAGGTGAATTTCTCTGCAAAAATGAATAATATAGAGCAGAGTATTTATGAACGTCTAGAAAGAATCATGCTGGTGCATCGTTCAAAAGGACTAATCAGGACCGACTATGGCCATGTAGGTGCCATACAATCGTCTAGGCATTATGCACGTAATTTATGAAGCTTATTTGCTGTACAATTAGATATCCACGTATTACATGCGGGAGTACAGGCTCATAGTTTGCATAGTAATGGTCCCTTGGGTTCTATCAGCGAACGTACCAGAGAAATCCCTCAGTTTTTTTGTCGACGTAGCTGGCATAATATACGATACATACGGTGTAACGAGGTATGTAATGGGTAATAATACGTAATGATATAATACGTACATTCCGTGCCGTATGTTCGCTAAAACAAACACTCTCCGAAGGGTATTCTGGTCGTAAAAGGGTTCGAGGTCCAAGTGGATTCCTAGGATCCAATCTAAAAAACTTTTCATTCTTCTCAAACTTTCCGTTCACTCGACATGTATTATTTTTCTGAATATACAGATTGTCTCGAAATTTTAAGGTTCAAAAATTAGTCCTCGAAACTGAAGTTGCAAACTTGTAAATTATCAGAGTTTTGAAATGTCGACATAGAGAAAGAGTAATGACGAACTACTGTCGAACGCCGGTGATTCGAATGCACGGATAGAGTCTCGACGGCGTGTTTGAAATGGCTGGCAGGCATCGTTGTTTCCTGCGATTCTTATCGTTTCCTGGCATTCGATCACTGGCTTAAACTTTCGTATCGCGAGGCCCGCGATCGAAATTAATTTACGCAAATGAATAAGGAAGGTTCCGCCGCTAGGCAAGGAAGTCCGTTTTCAGAGCGGTTCTCGATCGTTCTCGTTTATCAATCGACGCGGTTGGTATCGATTTCACGAAGGCGAACAGCTCGACTCCGCGAGTGATATCGATTGCTCCGCGAAACGTAGATATCGATTGACCAGAAAATCGTTCTTGATACTCGAATCGCGCGGTTATATACCTACCTGTTGAATAATCGTTGGATAAGCGAGTCGATTAATTAGTCAAACGCAGTTTAGATAGGAAATCGAACGACGTTTTAATGGTTTCACTTTTCCGAGAGGAGAATCTGGATTGTTTTTTAATTTCTCGCGTTTTATGCAGATTGCAGTTCGAAATATATTTTAATTAGTCGCTGTTGATCGATTCAGTCGAAACAACTTTGCGTAACAAGCCGTATGGTGATATGGGACATAATCACGTTGACTGATAAGGGGGCAATAAAACTCGCATTATATCGCCATTAATTCACGTTGCATCACAATGCACATCTTGCGTTTTATTGTAACGCGTTACTTCACATTATATTGCTATGCGTGGTATTACTTTACATTACATTGCCATGCAGTACATTTCCTCGCGTTATATTGCAATACACTACATCTTGCGTTATATCACCATGTGGTGCAATTGCAACGCATTGAATTTCCTCGC